GGGCAAGGCAATCTAACCAAAGGATAAAGGAATGGATAAGGAAACGTTGCATGCACAAGCCACCAATGGGAAGTGGTGTTAATACAAAGAAAGGAAATTGCATGGCATGACATGTGATTAAAAAAATAAAAAGAGAAAAAGGTTGGGCAGTCCAAAAATGCATGAGAAAATGGGAAATGAAAGCCATTTCAAGGCTTTTGCCTTGAGCGATTTACCCATAACAAAGTAAAAGAGAAAGAAAGAAAGGAGAAAGAAGAAAAGAGAAAGGAGAAAGAAGAAAGAGTTGAGTGAAAAGGCAAACTAAGTGAGGGTTCGGTTTTGTGGGATTTTAGAGCACGCGTACTTCTAGGGATTCATCCTTTATTGAGAGATATGGGTTACCTTTTATGGTAGCTAAGAAATATCAAGAGAAAAAGAACATGGATAATGGTAAGTAGAACTTTGATTTTGGTTACAGATTTCTTGAGGAAATGAGTTGGTAATTGTGTGAGAATGTTTGTTGCAGCAAAGGTCCTCCAAGATTTGAAAGAAATAGATGCATGCATGTGGGTTGATCTAAGAAGTATGGTGATTTTGAGCAAGACAAGTAATGGGTAAGTGTTTTTAACTTTGAGATCATAAGTGGAAAAAAAAAAAAGATGTGCATTGATTGTTTATGCTTGTGGCAGCAATGGTGACCAAGGATGTGAGGAGATTGTGAACTATATGTTGAATCCAAGCTAAAGACCGAAAGGTAAGCATACAATGTGAGTACATTATGTTGTGTTGGCTTTGGTTGGTTGAAAGTATATGGATTGCATGTAAAATTATTGTGAATGATGAGGATGAAAAATGTGATATGAGATTAAGGATTAATTGATTGAAATGCTGCCTGTACATGTGTGTAATTAAACATATTGAGTTTGAATTGTTGCTAGGAAGCATGTAAATGAGGAAGGTTTGCCGTGGTGGCGTATTAGAGGAGATAACGGGTGATTGGCAAGTAGAATTAGCTAGAGACGCATCCGAACCGATAGCGACGTAGTGTCCCACTATTATAAGGTGAGTATGGGGTGCCTATTTCAAAATTTCCATAACTACATAATGATATATGTATTGTAAACGTTGCTAGTTTTCTTTAAATGCATTTGTGGAAAGTGTGAGTTGCTAGAAAACGATAGGTGGTTTTTAATACTTATTTGCAAAAGATTTATACACTGTTATTGTGGAAAGCATGAGCTGGTAGAAACACTAGGCAATTGTGGATGCCATGACTTTGAAATTGCCTTGAATATATATATATATATAAGCTATATATGTAAAGGGTTTTAAAAATCGAGAAACAAGCTCTTTAACCCGGTTTATGTCAAAATTGTGCCTTACCGTTTGTGTGATGTGCATTCATGAATAAATTACATGTTCACCATGCCAATTTGATATTTAAACCTCATGTAAAGGTTTTATATTATAAAGTCTTACAAAGGGGTTTTATCATATTACCATGAATGGTATTTTGGAAATGGATTTGAAATAAGCTTTTGAGAACCCAATTTGCTTTTAAATGGTTTTATCAAACCAAGAGATTCGAGAGTAGGCTGAATGTTACATCTGGATAGTGTGACCCTTGTGCACAAGTGAGCTTTAGCTCTAGAACCTCTGGGTCGCAGATGGGCTATTAGAAGTGGTTGGGGCCACGGTCTGTGATATATATACGGCAAGGACACGGGTTGATATATGTGGCTAGCCCACCAGCTGATATACGTGGTTGTGACTACATGATTTCTCCGATGTCGGACAACATCATTGAGACTGCCATGTCTGTGGGAATCCGATGGAGCTGGGCTTTCGGATTGTCATTATTTGGAAATGGGTCCATGCGTTGATTATTTATGATTACCTGCTCGAGAGTGATATCTATTTAGGTTTTCAAACATGACTTCTTTCACATGGTGAGAAATACAAGTTTTTCCACAGCTTCTTTATTTATACGATGATTTTGTGTTTAATACCTTGAGGATGAGATGATTTATGAACTTGTGTAAAAGCTTTGATAATGTTTAATCTCATGGGAGCGTGTGTGCTTATGTTAGTATGATTTTAAGTGAAGGACATTAAATGATTTAGACGATGGAAATCTTTCACTCACACTGGTTTTGATATAGTGATTGTTAAATGATTACTTTGCATTAAAATTATTGGTTTTATACGTAAGGCATAAATTTTCCATTTGCTTTAAAATGGTTTATATATTCATATGATTTTAATAATTAAATTATCTATCCTTGGCTTGTTTCTCATCTACACCCTACTCACGGAGCCGATGATGATTGAGTTTGTGAGACTCACCGCCTTTATCTCCCTTTTATAGACAATGATCGACCTAGTGTGCAATCATCGGCACTTATGGTCCACCGCAGATAGGTAAAGGTATCTCATAGCACTTTATTCTAAGTAGCTCTACTGCTAGTGGTCGAGTTGTTCGTAGTGCATTTGTTTTTTTATAAATAAACACTAATCTCAATACATTTGTTCAGTTTGAAATTATACATTTGGATGTAATTTTACAATTATGTGGAATAAAGGTTGAGTTGATTTATTATGACCATTGTTTAATACCATATTGCAAAGAGTTATTTGGTACAAAGGATTACATAGATTGGTGAACGTATATAATGAATTAATGAGAGTTTCTAATAAGGCTTGTTTCGGGACTTGGCTAGTTCTTTCGCAAGTCTTGGACTTTGGTAATGATTAGGAATAAGGCCGTTACAGACTTGGTATTAGAGTCTCAATTTAGTCAAGTCCTAAGAATTCTTGTGTCAGTTAGCGGTGTTGTCAGAGTTAATGTAGAGTCTTGCTTATGGTTTGTGGCTATAGCATAAGTCATTGACAAGAGGCTATATAAACTCCTATTCCTAGTAACCTACCTTTTACTAACGTTATATAAAAGTCATAAGTAGTGTCGTTGTCTTGGTTTACGATGCCACCTGAGACACGAGCCATTGTTGGAAAGATCTTAAAGAAAAATGCTCCTAATGAAAGGTTAATGTAAAGACATAAGCCTCTAACTAAGGATGGAGGAAGGTGAAGCAAGACTAATAGGTCCATAATAACTTATTCATTTAGTGAAGCTGTAACTTGAACCCATGACTATCAATGGGAAGAAATTGGATTACATCGGACCATTATTAAGGTCAATATCAAGGAACGCCCCTTTAGTGGAATGAATAATGAATGTTGTGATTCACTTGAGGCTTATAAATCGGAGTATTGAGGGAGGTATAAACCAATGCTCATGTGTGTGGAGGTAAGTGCACTGTGTTAATTTTGTTTAGCCATCTCTGTATGTGAGACTATGATCAATCAACCTTGTTGTTCAGCTTTGTACAAGTTGGCTAGTTATTGTTTCTGTATGGTGATAGATTAGTGAGCCTACCAGGCACATATATAAATTGTGTTGGGATTTCAAAATATTTTATACACATATATGTGTTGAACATGTGTATAGTAGCTTAAATGGAGTTGGTTCTGATTTCAATTAAGTGGCTGTGAATTTCCAAGATTTGATTTGACGTATTATGGGTTATAGTTATAAGTACATGAATTAGCCCAAAGGTGAACATCAGTGATTGTTATACTAATGTGTGGTCATGAAGTAAAAAGGCTAGTAAACAAATCTGCTTTAAAGATGAGCTTAAATTTTGCTATGCTTAGCATTGAGCCAAAGAATTAAAGGACTAGCTATGAATTGGTAACCTAAAGGTCAAATGACTTAGAAATGTTGGTTTTAGTCTAAATTCCATATGGAGTTCTATATTTGAGCTTGATATACAAATTGCTTTAAAGATCAATTTAAAAGTCTATCTGGTTTGGTATGCAACTTATGATATAAATGATTAGTTTTGAATGTGATTTCTCCAAAGGTAAGGGAGTTAGAAAATGCTAATTTTTGGATAAGCTCTAAGAGGAAACTTTTGCATCCCAAGTTTAGGAAATTTTGATCTTATGACCACAAAGGTGAGATGCAATAATAAAGTGAATTGTCCATCTTACAAATGTAATTGGTTAAGGATTGATTACTAAAGTTAAGATCTCAGTGGTACGTGATGTACACTTTTATATTTATGCACTTAAGAGTTATTTGGAGACCATTGATTAACCAAGTTTGCACTAAATGTTATGGTAAAGGAATACGATTGCTAGTAGTGAAATATGCCCAAAGGATGATTTTGGCATACCACAAAAATGTGGAATGGATATGTCGAAATTAATGTTCTGATTGTGTACTTGTGATAAAAGGGTAAGTTTTTAAATTGTGGTTTTCATGGTCATGAAATATATGAAGGTTATCAATATGTAGGCAAATACTTGAAATTGTACATTTTGTAATTCACATGCATCATATGGAAGGAGATATCCCATAGAGGAATTTAGCCTAATTGGTGGTTACATGACTATAGGTTTGGCATAAGATTGAGAATGCCCAAACATATATGTGGAGTGTATTGTGAAAGGCCGAAAGCTACATATACACTAATAAGGACAGTAAGATGAATGATGGGGGAAATATAGATGTTGTTATGATAAGCATAAAGAGCTTAAGGAGAGTCAATGCAAATATACTAAGTTAGTTTGTGTGGTCTAAATTAAGGACAAGGAGAGTTGGGAGATTTGAAAATAATGTCCATTGGGACAAATGAGCTGGAATGCTATTGAGCATACATTGAATTGTTAAAGTTATGAGTGGCTTTGAAGGTAAGCCTTTGATTGTTTAAGTCTTCAATGAAATTCTATTAAAGGATGTGTTTAAATGTCTTGGCAGCGTTTGGAAAACTATTAGAGAGTATAGTAGTTTAACTTGCTGTAAGAAGTTGAATTTGGATGGCCGTGAGTGGCTCATGAGCAATCAAGCAGTGTATAAGTATAGGCTCATAAAGGGAGCTATGATTGGTAGATAAGGGTGGAACCTTAGAATTGCATTATTGTAGTTATAAGATTATACTTTCTATAACATGATATAGCGTAGAACTCTAACAAGGAGATTGTGTTCACTGCTTTAGGCATTAGATTACATGTTATGTATTTGTATCCACTTTGTGAACACCCTGATGAGGTAGTTCGAGAGATTTCTTACAATGTGAAAACATTAAAGCTCAAGGGGCTGATGGTATATAGTGACGTCAATGCTCGTGACTGATATGTCATATAGCATAAATATATGTTGCAAGTATAAGAATGCTTGGAAATGTTGGTGTGAGGCAATGATTATCTTGTCATTATGTAGACTTGATGATGTTATGGTCTTGATATGCTTGTAAAGGTAGGGCATCAAATTGTGAAAAGTGCTTTCCCACACGTGTTCCATTTGTTTTGAGTAATTATCAAGGTATAGTGCTTGATAAGGGTAGGCAAAGGTTGAATTGTGCTCTAGATGCATAGAGAGCAATGATGATATGGTTTAGTTAATTGATATTACCTTTGGTGGGGGAGTAAAAATACACCATAGAATTCATAGAGATCTACTTAGAAAAGAGATGGTGACTTGAGATTTCAAGTACTCATATACGAGTAAAGATTTTGGTAATGAGCCATGACCTAGAGGCATGATATTAGAATATGAATTTTGGCTAAGTAAAATCTGTTTTTAAGACACGTGGTGTCTGAGGATTGTGCCAATTAGCTATTGACTCTTGTATGGGAATAGAATATCAAAATCAGCTCTGTGTATTCATCACAAGATGGTGAGCGTGATCTGATTAATGGTAAGAGGATGAGTTAGTGAATTAAAAGGTGATTTAGAAATGAACTAGGATGAAGTGAGACGCTTTGGGATTTGAGGAGATAAGTGGAGAATTTTAAAATAAAATAATATTTTATTAATAAAATAATATTAAAATATTAATATTTATCTACTATTGAAATTAGTCATGAAAGAGGACTATATGGCTAATCTAAGTGAGGGAGAAGAAGTAAGAAAGAATGTCAAAGAAAAACGACATTAGTGGGGCTCATGTGCTTTTATTAAATAAAATAAGAGAGGGTAAGTATATATTGAAATATTA